TATGACAAACAAATGGGGGGAAAAAAAAGGTTAAAATTTTGAGTTTGACTTAAAACTTTGTCAATAAATGTTAAATGTTCAGTTTGTTAACAGATTATCTAAATATATACATCATCTTAAAAGTCATGATACTGTAACCAAATACAACTGACACATTTCATAATTTAATTAATTAAAAATAAGAGAACATTTTGATCTTTGAAAGGAAAGAACAATCTTTTCTTTCAGCACAATTTAGTTACCTGATTTTCAGGCAAAGAAATTTTCTAAATTATATTTTGTGTTTTGCTGACATGCAGATATAACTTACAAATTAGAAGGTACAGGAAAGGACAATTTATCGATTATAGATTGGAAATTATCTCATCATTCTTCCAGGAACAAAGTTTTCTTATTATTATTCGAAGTCACTAATATATAACGGTAATGTTAGCATTAGCATGCTAATTGTATCATATTCATTTGTTGATAATGCACTAAAAACATTTTTGTTGATTTTTGTGCTTTGATCAGAAATAAATAACTTATGAGATACGTTTACATCTGTTTTCAGAAATATGTTTTTCTTTTATCATATTCTTTACAACTTAATGCAGGTATGTTTTAAGTGGTTTAATGCTAATATTAGCAAAAATGTATTTATTCTGTTAGTGCTAGCAGAATACGATTTTGTCAAGCTAACATAAGATTCTGCTTATGTTAGCTTGCTACGACAGACGTTAGCATCTTCTGGTTTGGATCTAGTTTTCTATAAATTAACCAAATTGAAACTTGGTTGGTTAAAAAAAAAAGACCAAATCCAGCAAGTTTACTGTATAATTTTTTGATATGTATAGTTTGATGCTGATGTTAACTGGGTTTTTGACCTAGCATTATCATGCTAAACCCAATGCTGCAGGTAGATTCAGACAATTTGTTGCCTCATCGGAACCTGAAAATTGTAAATTAAAACTTGTTTTCAATGGGTAATATCAATATTTTCATGTAACTGACATAGTTGCAACTTTGGTCAATTATTTTTGTAAGAAATGTTTTTAGAAACGGACACCTGGTTTGTCCCAACATGTTGACATGTGTTTTTTATGTAACGTTTCTTTGGGCCAACATGGAAATCTTCCGTATTGAAAGAATCAGAAACTTTTCTCCTTAATCTGTTTGTTGTGTTTTTGTTCTCTTTTGCAGGTTTGCTGTCTGTTTCCAGGGAGATAGTCATTTCAAACACTCACTCAGCTTTGATGACCTTATTTTCATTTATCTTAATCCTTTTATGAACCTTTGATGTTTCCAAGTTGACCATTTACCTAAATGAAGCTCACATTGCACTAAAAAGCACTTAGAATAACGAACATGAACATTTATTGGTATTTTTTCCACCATCAAACACAAAGATGAGCGATTTCTTTCTTCCATAAACATTCCTGTTGTAATCAGATTATTGCCTCTGCATGTTTGAAATGGAACAAACATTGAAATAAACATTTTGGGTTTATTTCAATATCGATTTCAAGAGACTGATTGGTTACTTTTAACACGGTTCATTCAATATTAAACACAATATCCAAACTTCAAAATTTTCTCTATTACCTGTTTTTTTCCCCCCTTTTCATTTATTTTACCAGTGTTCTCTATTCCTATGGTGGCGACACCCAACACTTCTGTACAAGTTGCATTTTAATAGAAATATATTGTTGTATGAACTGAGGATCATAATTGGATTTCACCTCCCCTCTCTGACTTCATTAGTATCGACCCGTCTCTCAGTGATGATGTCACAGGCGGCTGCTGTTGGCAGGCCAATGATTTGAAGTTGAAATTGGGTTTTAGTAAACGAAATCCAGAAATACACAATACACACACACACACACACGCACACTCACACACACACACACACACACACACACAACACACACACACACACACGCACACACACACACGCATATGCATATACACACTTTCCACCACCATCCTGTCTTTTTTAAATTCTTTTTACTCTTATTTTGATAAGTAAATGTTTAAACTACAACATTTATCTGTATAAAGTAAATAGTTTCAATGAAAACTAAATATTGTGTTTATTTCCATTGCCAGGTTTGTTTGTTTGTTTTTCCAGTTTGAATCCACATCACCACATAACTCCACGTGTTTCATGATAATTAAGGCTGAAATAGAATTCATCATATCAATTTTGTTCATATGTCGACAATAACACTAGAAAATGCAAATATCGATAACTTAAAATCATATTATTTAACAAAACAAAAAAAATTATTGACTGTATTTTTTAAGTAAAAAAATCTTGAGGGCTAAAAGTGAAAATGCAAAGAAATGAAACATGATCATGAATTAACATCCATTATGTTGTTTATAACATGATTCATAAGCTATCAATGTAAAACAAATAACAAACCATGTTATACTTATTTTATGATTAGCTTTTTACATCTTTTCAGAAAAAAGAACAAGATATGAATTAATTTAGCTTTATTTTGCTAAGTTTATTAATTCAGCAAAAGCCACTGGATGTTTTTGTTCCCTATTAGACATGGATGATAACTTTGTGTCTTGTTTCTTTTTTGAACATCAATGAAAAGTTCAAGTTCAGGTTATTCTTGAATTGTGAGCAGGGGCCGACCAAAATCATTTGAGGGCCACAAATGGCCCGCTGCCCACCCTTTGGACACTGCTGAGCTAAACAGTGACCCCTACAGGTCATACATCAACGTAATATTTTCTTGTTCCAGAAATTCACTTGATATGATGCAAAAAAGAGGAAGATAAAGATAAATAATAATGTGAGAAAATATTGCCATTTAAATTCCAGATTCCATTATTATTTGTTTATAATTAGTTTTTCTATATGTCCACTACTCTGTATCTATTGTTCTCCAGTAAAACAAAGAGAAATCCATGGATACATATTTTTAAAAACAAATGAATGCATGAGCAAATGTGCAAATAACTGTGTCATTATGTATTTGTCTTTCAGAGTCTAAGATGTGTTGCAGCAGTGATAAATGTATGCAATATGTGTGCATGCCAGAGGGCCTCCATCAGCGGCGTATGAAAACTCGCTTCAGCGTGATTCATTAGAAAGACAGAAAAAAGAAGAAGAATAATGAGATAAGGAAGAGAAGAATGAGGACAGAGTTTTAGATGTAAAGGTAACTGAAATTTATTTTTGAAGTCTTCTGAGTGAAGCAAAAATGAAAATACAGATTGCTACACAGGAGTTATTAATAATAAGAGAAACAGAAGCACAAAGTGCCGATTATTAATCAAAATGCAATAATTATCATGGATCAAAGTTCCTCTTACTGCAGACAAAACCCTGTAATCAAACTGCAGTCGTTTCCTCAGAAGGTCCGGTTCGTTTGGTGAGTAACAGAATGAAAAGTTCTAGAAACCGCCATCACAGTTTGGTTGAAGTGAACCCTGGTGCACTTCCAATGCAAATGTGAATGCCAACTGGCTTGGAGACCGCTCCAAAAGCAGGAAGTGAACTCAAGCACAGAGCATTCTGGGTAAATACAACCAAAACGTGCTGGGAGGTACGGCTCATTGTCTTTTACCAAAGATGAAGCAGAAATCCAACAAATGCTAAAATTTGACTTGAAAATTTTTGTTTACATTCTTCAGAGGTTTTCATGTCATTTTCTTCAGTGGTTCTTGGTGCAGCGCCCCCACAGGCGAGGAGGGGAACAGGTTTTTCAAACGGTTTGGTTGTTTTGACACGGTGTAGTTTGAAAGTGAATCAGAAAATGTAACAAATTTTGCAAACCAAATCTTTTGAACAAATCTACTGGACTATTTATCTGTGTGTAAATCTCTTTTATTGTCGTCTCCCTATTGTCTTTGTTTAATCTGTGGATTTAAACATCTTTTTCATATTTTTTTGAAAATGATTGAATGTAAAATAAGGAAGTCTGTATGTCTGAACCCTTTTGTCTTGAATTTAATGCACTGAAACATTGAGACACAAGCTTGAGGCAAACAGATCATCTGTTGCCTGGAAGCTATCCGACTTGTCTTTGCTAGACTTCAATTTGATAAGAAATAATACTTTGTGCGCGTGCGTGCGTGTGTGTGTGTGTGTGTGTCAGCGGCAGATCTGTTTCCAGGTTGGTGCCGTCGCCCGGCCTGGGCCCCATTACCGCCCTGTCAAACCAGCTCACATCCACCAACACATTCAGGAGCCGACAGACAAACGAAAAGTGAGCGAAACGAGTCGAACTCGCTCCCTTTTCCTCCGTATCAATGTGTGAGTGTATGTGTTTGTTTGTGTGTGTGTTAAACCTCGCTCTGATTTGTTGGTGCGGATTAGACACAATGGCTCATCAGTTAGCGCTTAGCGCCACACCTACACTCCTACAGCTGCAATCGGTTAGACTCCCTGAGGTTCATTTGGAGCTAGCTCATTCTTTCAAAGGTCATTAACCACACTTTACATACACACACACAACTACACACACACACACACACACACACACAACTACACACACACACACACACAACTACACACACACACACACACACACTTCAGATGAAAATACACTCACACAGACACTTTAAAACTTCCACACCATTAGGCTCTTGAACCGGGCGAAGGACGTGTCAACTGCTAACGCGAGAAATTAATTCCAGACAAAACACTCATCGGTTTGCAAATCAGGGCGGTATTTAAATATTTAATTTAAATCCTAATATATTATCTTCAGGTGCATAATTAAAGCACTGTTCTTTGTTTCTAAGGAGAAATATTTGCTTTTTTTTGTTCTTAATAACTCTGGAATTCAATGAAACCTGAATAAACCCAGATTCTCTGTTAGGTTGTTAGGTTTCGCCTGCCGTCACGTCGCAGCCCGATATCAGAAATGTTTCTGTTGCCATGTCGCGCTCAGACTTGGCTGCAGAAAGGACGCTTCGCCATCGGCCGCAGGCTGAACCAGGACGCTCCGCAGGAGAGGAAGTGATGCAATGAAATTAAAAATGCAACAAGTCTGCAAATTTTGCTCAGCTGAATGGTTGCCATGGAGACTAGATAATTTCTCAAACGCATGAAGGAATCAAAGCGAAACTCCAGGTATGATGAGAGAATAACATGATGCAGGATCAAAAGAGTTGGTTTCACTGACAAGTATCCCTGATACTCACTAAATGTATCTACACTGCAAAAACAAAATCGCAACTTTGGTCGAGTTTCTAGTGAAAATATCTGAGCAGCTGGAATAAGAGAAAACTAATTTAACTTTTTAAGATATTTAAGTCAGTCCTTTTTTTTATATTGATGAAAAAGTTCTAGTTTCACTTGCAGATTATTTCACTAAAATATGTTGCGATAAGTGAAATAATCTGCCATTCCTGTAAGTACTGTTTTAAAATCAATATTAAGACATCTCTGACTTAAAACAAGCTCATATTTCTTCTTGATAAGTTATTTTTAAGTTAATTTTGTCATATTTCAGGTCTACTAAGATATTTGCACTAGAAACCCGACCAACATGCTTTTGCACTGCAAACTTCTGAATTCAAAGAAAGTTACAAAAGAAATTATTACAAATGTTCTTGTCAAGTTTTGTGACATTTGGCAATTAGAAATAATTTTGTTAATTCTGCCTGAACTAAAACAAAAAGGTTTATTTTCGATTTAACTTCACTGAGGGAGAAAAAAAACCTTTTTATTCAGTTTCTGTAAACAGTAACGGACATGCAGATGCTGAAACCAGATGTTAGGTTCAAAAAAATAAATAATTTTGACATTGAATGATCTGAAGCAACTTCTGGAGAAAAATAAAACACAACTTTTTCTAAAACTGAATAATAATCATTTTCATCTTCACTGCAGCTGTTATAATGTGAATTCTTTGTCTTTATGTCCTCATAACGCTTTACTTATTCAGTTTTTATATCTAGCAGGTTTACACACGTCAGCTTGAGCTCAATCTTTTAATGATGGACTCGACCTTTTCATAGTTCGCTCTGTCTGCAGTGAAAAAACATCCTTGGATTGAGATTGAAATGAGAGAAAAACCTTCACCAGACTGAGCTCAGAGGTTTACAGGAATAAAGTTTTACAAAGTGAAAACATGTGAAAACATGTGAAAACCTACAAGGGCGAATTCCACCTACTGACGAATTCAAAGCTGAACGTGTGTGCAAGGTTTCCTGACAAAAGCCGTCAGTGTGTCACACAGCGCACCGATGTCCAAAGGAGGAAAATTAAAGCGACACAAATTTATGAAAAGCTTCTGAAAAAAGTCCTGGAAATCGTAACTCTTAAACTGGAAAGAAAAGTTACCCAGTTAGATAAATTTTCAGAAAAGGACAGAACGTGGAGAAAGAAGACAGAGAGACAAAGGCATTACCTCCCATTTTCCTCAGCAGATGACAAGGGTAAAATAATTATTATCACACAAACAATAATCCGTCTTTCCTGCACCGTCTCCCTGTAGTCGCATCCGTAGCTCCAGGCAGATAATATACTGGACTGCCTGAGATGCATTTGAATATTTCTTTGGCAGGAAATCACATTACTGGCTATTAAAAAGTAATTATTTGTACATAAATTCCCTGCAAGTTTGAGCCTAGACTTGGCAGATGCTTGTGTGTTTTGTTATGCGTGTGTGTGTGTGTGTGTGTGTGTGTGTGTGTGTGTGTGTGTGTGTGTGTGCGTGTGTTTGAGTTCAATGCTAAGGCAGTTAGCGTGTGAGGCGTTGTGGTGTTGTGTTTATTAAAAACGCAGACAGCCTCTCCATCATCAGCAGTGAACACACACACACACACACACACACACACACACACACACCCCCACGCATACACACACACACACACACACACACACACACACACACAGTGTCAACAAAACGATATTTCATAGGGTGCATGATAATGTAATTACCAATACTTAGCATAGACACAGAGGAAGAATGGAAAGAATAGCTGTAAAGAGGTAGTAGAGTAAAAAGTTTTAAATCAGACGTTTTGTTGCAGAATGTGAAGAAAATGTTGCAGAAATTATTTGGGGTGTGAAAATTTCTTAAATTTAAGTGAAAAGTTCTTAATTATCACATTTTTGGTTTGTCTTCCACAACAATAAGCTGTCAAAGTTAGCATTAGCATTAGCATCCCAGTGTCAGGGCGTCCACACGCAGCTGGATATGTGGGAAAATAAATCCATTTTAGATCCACGTGAAAACACTAAAAACGATCATAAAGTTATTTTAACTTTGACTTTAAAGCAAACTGTAAATCGCATCTTAATTTTTTGCCATTTTTATGTTTCAGTGCAAGTTGTGACATTTTTGGGTAAATTTTTGTAAATTCTGCAATATTTGATCTGAAATCGTCTCAGTGCTGCCCTCTTTGGGTGAAACGGTGGCTACGTCACGCAGCCCTGCGTTTGGGAATGAAACCATTTCATTTAGACACTCAGCCCGAGTTGGAATTGGAAGCATTAAGCAAAACAATAAATAAATAAAAAATGTCTCTGGTAACAGAAAAGAAGTTGCCAGCTGTTTTCTAGTGACTTTTTTAAAAAAAATTGCAACAAACTAAACAAGTTGGCAACGGTGATTTTCCACGTCCGTCCTGATCGAACCCCACTTTACTCTGACCACACCCCTCTGTGCGTCTTGGCTCCGCCCACTTTCACAAACATTTTCAATGACTGTCTGGGTGTGGCCATACTTCCAACACGACATTTAATTCACTTTTTTTCCTTTTATTTGTAAAAGCAATAATGGGTAAAATATTAGGGTTATTTGTATTATGTGACAGAGTATGGTGTTCCTCAAGGTTCTGTTCTTAGTCCCTTTTTATCTTCACACAGACTTTCTCCTGGTTAAACAATATCAGGAAATGTGAAACGTTTTTGCTTCATGTCCATCTGGAGCAAAAACCTCTTAGCAAAAAACGTGAGTTTGTTTAAAATCATGTGTTTCCATTAAGCTAATTTATTTTCATAATTCCAATTTGCGCAATTATTTATCGTGAAGGGAATCGTAGGTTATGTTTCACCTCCAGTAAAAACACCATAAAAGTTACTTGACTCCCGTTTTCTCCACAGTTCAGGTTCTTGGTTTGAACTCCAGGACGCAGCTTTTACTGCATGATTCATTCAGTCGCTGCCATATGAGAAGTTTGTGTGTTTATTTAATTAGCAGATAAACAACTGTCCCTAAAGATGTGTAAAAACTTTCAGCAGATGTTGATTAGTACTATAATTAGTATTAACTAATAATAAATAATATTAAAGTAATGCAACATGCCCGTCTTTCTGTGTTTTTCCTGGCTGTAAATCAGTATCACTGATCCGTGTTAACATTTCCCCTGCACACGCTAACGTTAGCGGCAGATAAATACAGTTCTTTCTTCTCGTCACAAACCTTCCTGACCTACACAAGTCGAGTCATGGCTGTTCTGTCTCGGAGGAGCTGTTTTTCTCATTAAGATTTGTTTGTTGCTCTCTGGTGAGAGGTTATTGCAGACAGATTGTGCACAGCCTGCTTTTCTTTGCCGTCTTTGTTATTAGGTGTTCCTCCATCTGGACCTCCCACATTAATAGCCTTTATTAATGTTTAATAGCGGGATTACTCTGGATGGCTTTATTTGGCTTGGTTTTGGCTCAAAATGAAACTGGACTGCTTGTGTTTACGGTGAACTTTGTTGTCCTGAAATGTCCTTTAATCTCGTCAGCTTTTTCAAAAGGTTTCAGCTCTGAAAGCTGTGAAGATACAAAAATATAGAGTCAAAAAAACTCCTGAGAAACCTGAACGTGAAATTTCCTGACAGAGAATAAGAGCCAAAATTAAGATTATAAGAATGAATCTTAATTTTTATTAAGATTCATTAATCTCACTTTCATTAAGATTCATTCTTAATGACATTAAATTAACCCTAACCATACAAGAACTTTATTCTCGTGTTACTTTAAGTTTATTGCCGAATGACTTCATTTTATATTTTTCATTTGCTGCCATATGAGTCACACATGAAAACAGAGAAAATGATAAGGGCCATTGGAAAAAATGAATTCCAACTTTAATCTCAGAATTTTGACTTTTTCTCAGAATTTTGACTTTTTCTCAGAATTTTAGCTTTTTCTCAGAATTCTGAAATTCAACTTGTTTCTTACTTTTTTAAACTAAGTCATGACTAAAAATCAGGACTTTTAGTCCTGACTAAGCTCTCCATTTTTTAAGTCCTGACTAAGCTCTCCATTTTTTAATAATTATAATTTTGATGTCATAATTCTGACTTTTTTCTCAGAATAATCCTTTAGGTGTTTCCGAGTGGCTCTATTCCTTTTTCAGTGTTTGGATCATTAAGCTACATAGGAAGCTAATTAGCAGATAGATTTTTGCTTTATGTTTCATAGATTTGGTTTTTATCTGTGTGAAGAAAAACCTACATAAAGATGCAGAAGACAACAGCAAAGGCTTTTGTCGACACCATTAGCAGGATGAATGAAATGAGAGGATAAAGGCCAGTAAATAATGAAAGTGGGGCAGTGAAGGAGTGAAGGCAGAGGAAGACGGAGGCTGGCAGTGTTTATCATCAGGGGTCCTGTTGGATATCATTCAGTTTGGAGCCATAAGGCTGAGCTGGCAGTGCGCTGGATGGCTGTCACACCGCTCTGATTAGGAGCTCACTGCTGCATGAGAGATGGACTCTCATGGTAAATCGGCTTTGTTGGGATAATTACTCATTCCTTTCATTTTATCTGGAAATAAAACATTGTGTGTTGCTGCTGTTTATGAGAAAATTATCTTCTTGTGTGTTTCCTAAGCAGATTTGTAGTACAAATGTGTTGAATAGCGAATTCCTGCAAAGACCAACAGTGGGACCAGTGGCACCAACTGACTGGACCTCTGTGAATTCGGTCAGTCAAGCAGGTGAATATCACACATTTTATGTTACATATATTCATTATGTCGTTGAAATCAATTTCTATTTTGACATTAAAGGGCAACTGAACCATAAAACAACTTTTCTATTTGGGATGCTATCTGTAAGTTTCAGCGGAAGTTGTGACATTTTTGTGCAAATTTGTTTAATTCTGAAATCATCTCAGTGCTGCCCTCTTCGGGTTGAACGATCACACAGTCCTGCGTTTTCAAAATGAAACCATTTTGTTTAGACGCTCAGCCCAAGTTGGAACCACAAGCTTTCAGCAAATGTCTCAGTTGATAGAAAAACTTGGTCGCTTTGCTGCTTGTCAAGTTTTTGTAAAGAGGGGCTGAAAAGTTGCTGAATAAAAAAAAAGTGAGTAAGTTGACAATAGTGGCTTCCCTCGTTTTGACCAGGAGGGAAAGGACGTCATGTCCTCAACGCAGGGACAGGAGGGACGTGGTCCATGCAGGGCCATTTCAGCCCTATGACTATTTCTGCTAATATTATGATTTTATTCTGATTTATTTGTCATGTAGCTTTATTCTTCTAATATTATAAATTAATTCCAAATTATTTTGATTTTGTCAAATAATTTTATGAAGTTTATTGTAATAAAATTAACATGTTATCCTCGTTATGCAATGACTATTCTTGTAATACTATCACTTTATTGTATTATTACAAGTTTATTTTTATCATTAAATTTTCATCTTACTGTGGCCAAAATATTTGTTGTAGACTTAATGGAATAACCTAAAACTATTCAGATTTGAGATTAAAAAATAACTTTTACATCATGACACAATTACTGTAACGTAACAAAATGGTGACTTTGATGCTCTTAACCCTAACCCTCCTAATGTAACAGGAGGCAGGGGATTAAAATATTACTTCTGACATAAAACTAATAATTAATCCAGATAATTTGAATAATCTCGTGATTATTTTGGGTAAATAAATGTTTAATCTCCACATAGATGGAGAGCAGGACTGATGACAGAGAGGGGATCCGGCACCTGATGCTGCAGCGGCCTGACCGGATCGTTTGAGCTGATTGGACTCTGGAGATTCTGGGTTACAGAGGCACGGGGACGGACGGGCAGATGGACGGATGGACACTGGATGTGGGCAGATGTACTGAGACCTCTGCAGCCCCTCAGAGGAAAACGAGGCGGACCCAGAGGCTGGCTGTGTGCCGCAGTTCAGCAGGTGGCAGACGGATCGGCACAGACTGTTACTTATCAGAGGAAAACAAAAGCTTATCGTTTTCTGGGAAGAAAGGAAACGTCGCTTTAGATCGTTTTTTCCAAGGTTCCCTCTGGTTTGTTCAGTTTATCAGCATGCACTGAATCAGGAGAAAGAGGATTTTTATGCAAATGCAGTGATAAAAACATGTTGGATTTACACCTACCAAAGTCTTTGCTTTTTTCTTTAAATCCTAGTAGATTGCACAATTTGGAGGTGTGTGTTTCTCCCTTTGATGGGAGCCGTATTCCAGATGGACTGCATTAGGTTTTGGTCTAATCATTGGTCTAACAAATTCTTCTGGATGATAAATTGCCCCAGACTTTATTGCGATAAACCTCTGAAAAAAACAAGAGCTCAACTTCATTCTTCATGAAATGTAAACAAAAGTGGAGAGCCATCAGATTTTAGCAGGATTTCTCTTATCTTCAGCAAAAGACGATGAGCCATTTCTCCTGCTAGCATTAGGCTAGCGCGTTTGTTTTGTTTGTATTTACCCAGAACACCTTGCACTATAGTCCTCTTTCTGCTTTTGGAGCGCTCTCTGGACCAGTTCTTGTTCACTTATGCTTTCAAACTAAACTGAGACCAGAGTTTGATTATCCATTCACAAATCCCAATCAAATCTGACTTTCTGTGCAAACAAGAAAGAGAACTAAACGCGGCTGGTGTCAATAAACTCCATGTTTCTTCCATCAGAAAACCCAAACATGGCAAACAATCGACAATCAATGTTATTGGACTGAAGGAAGAAAGTCTGAATACCTGGAGAAAAACCAGACAGGAAGTCTTGCTAACAGCTGATGTTAGCAAAAAGCTAACAGCCAGACGGTCTAACAGCTCCACAGCCTGCAACCCTTAATTCAATTCTCTGGAGACAAATCCAGGCCATTTCTAATGAATAGGTTTCCTCTTATGTTATTATGCGGCAACCAGACAAAGAGCCAACAAGATTATGAACCATAACGAGGCGTCTGGTGATCCTGATGGAGACCAGAACACGTCAACATCAGCATCAGTGTTCTGAGGAGGGTTTGATGACACGTCTTCTTACATCAAATCTTTTGTTTTTAGATACAAGAGAAGGAATTTATTATAAATAAATATCTTGTGTTTCTCTTGCTACCTGCTGTTTCTTTAGGTGAAACTGCCACTAAACTCTCCTGATGGTGAAATATAAATACCATCCACCATTTTTGCTTTTTATTTTTCTAACAGAGCAAAACAAAAGTAGAAGCAGACATTTATGTGTCGCCCACGATTTTGATCTTCGGTTGTTATCAGATCTCTTAACATTTCCACTAAAATAACTTTTGGACGCCACGACTGAGAAGGTCTCCAACCTTTTTCCTTTGGAGGCTTTTGGAAAGCAGAGACATCGTCAGTCTGGGCTGGTTTCCTCCTGTTGGCATCATTAGGCAAGAGCGGGACAATCATTCACGTCTTCCTGACAAGGCTTGGACGGCTGTCAGAAACTGAGGCAGAGATTGGAGCTCAATCTGAGTCTTTTTTCCATCTAGACAGAATCACAGAGAACTGCTTAATGATTGTATGACCAGAATAGACAAGAGACATGGTGACCCTGTCGTCCGTCCCAAAACGGAATCCATTTGGCTGCTTGAGACACATTATGCAAAAGTCAAATTTTCCACAGTTTTGTATTTTCCATTCTGCTCCTGAAAGCAGCCCAAGAACTGAAAAAAGCCCAAAACAAAACAAAACAAAAACCATCAAGCCCATTTGCAATAAATTTATGTTTTTTGGTGTCTGGAAAATCAGCCGTTTCACAAACCTCTGGAGCGTGATGTCACCAATCAGCAGGCGCTGCTCCGTTACCTAGCAACCTCAGAAGAGTTCCGCCAGTTACTTAGCAACCCCGAACTAGTTTCACCTGGTACCTAGCAACCCAGAGCTCCAGCACGTTTGGTCAGCTGGTTTTACCGATGGATGTGCTGTACAATGGCTGCTGGAGAAGACGGGTGTTTTGCTGTTGACTTAATATTCGGAAACCATTTGCTGCATTCTGGTTGGTTGTGCAGGAGGCTCCACTTCTGCTTTTCAAAGGTGTACGGTTGCATAACTGTGGATCACTGCATAGTCATGTTCACTGTAGGTTCAGTTGGGGGGTAGCAGCTTAATTTGATTTAGAGCCGCACTATGAAAAAAATTTATATAAAAATGCATATTTTTATATGTTTGTTTACATATATTTGGTTGGAGACAGATGTGTGAAAAATCCACCTTATCCCAAAGCTAGAAAACATGTTTTATAAAAGTGACAAAATGCAGCTCATCATTTAAAAATGATTTTGTACAAAAAATATAATAAAGATGTTTTTTATCGCCCATAGACCTATGGCCTGGATTTGTCTCCTAACCTGCTTTAGGAAGCTAATTAAATCACCTTTAAGAAGAGCAGAGCTGAATAAACTTCATTTATTCCTCCAATGTTGTGTGTTCGTCCAAAATATCTCTGGCTTCGATAAACATGCAGTAATTATTGTCGTTTCTGTTGTACTTCCAGCTTCAGTTCTCAGGTTGCTCCTCCTGCAGAAATCCTGCTGCCGTCTGTTGAGAGTTTGTGTGCAAACATGTGGTATTGGCAGCCAATCACTCGGATTTCTTTTGCCGAAACGTGGCAGGAAACCCAGCAGTCTGTCTCTGAGATCACAGCGAACGCTTGTCATTTTCAAACCCGGACTGTTTGAGAGTCCATTCAGCAGGATTTATCTTTGGACTTGACACAGACGTTTTGTTTATGTGGCAGGATGGTTCTGATCAGCAGTGCGGCCAGAGTATCAGATTACCTTTCCTCAGTCCTTGACACGACGTTTTCCAAGAATAAATCGAATCAAATTTTCACTTTTCCACATTCGGCAGTGGGTGTAATTATTTAGATTTCTTGTCATAACACCTATCTGACACGTCTTGGTATCAGTTCCGCCAGTTATGTGTCAGATTTGCAGCCTAACCTTGGCTGACTTGATGCGTTTATTAAACACACACTCAGCAGACTGTTTTATGAAATGCCCCGTCATTCAGTCTAAATATTGCAACACAGCACTTCCTGAGTTCAGATGGGACGTTTGGTGTTTTGTCCCTCGCTGCTGTGAGACATTCATCCATAAATTAATGAATGTTTTATTGCAGCAGAAGGATCTCTGGGTGGAAATTTTTAGAAAACTAGCCATTAATTTGTGCGTATTTATTCAATTAAACAAAAAAATTCCAGAGAGAGACATGTGTTTTTGTTTAACAATAACTGTAATATTGATATTTTCTATTAAGAGAAGGTCAGAAGGGCAGCTTTCAGGGTGCTTTAGATTTGGTTTGATCGGGGAGAAAAGTTGCACCATTTGTTGCAATTTCAGCTGCTGTTTTCTTTCAAACTGCACTGAGTCAAATAAACCAAACAATTTGAAAATCGTGTTCCCCTCCTTGCCTGTGGGGGCGCTGCAACAGGAACAACTGAAGGAAACAACACAAAAACCTCTTAAGACATGAGCGCAACTTCCTTCTTTACAAAGTGGAAATAAAAATGGAGTAGCGTCAAATTTTAGCGGTTGTAACATTTTTCTCTTTTGTCTTCAGTAAAAGACCACGAATCATTTCTCCTGCTAGCGCTGGACTTTAGAGGCGGGGTTTGATTTTACAGGTGGAGATGTAAAATCTTTTGTTGTCTTAGTTTTTTATGTTTGTTTTAGGTCAGTTAGGAGGACAGTCCCAATGTTTTCGTGCAATGTGAAGATGTGGGACTCAAACAGAATAAATATCCACCAAAAACTCAGAAATTTTCTAGAAAACAAATAAATAGTCTGAGTTCCAAAAATCTAAAATTTGCAAGAAACACTCAGTTTGAGATTAATCTCAGAAGCACCAAAAGTAAAATAAGCATTCACAAATTTTCTAGAAAAACATTTCAAAAATGTCCAAAAGTTGAGGATTTTTGACTTAGCAAGATAAATTTTCCATTTCCATACTGCATAATGATGTACATGATTTTTAAAACTTACCTTCAAATGCCAAGTCCAAACTAATCAGCTCTAGATCAAGCTAAGCCGTTTTAGCCAATTGGATTAAGTTCCTTTAATCACGTGTCAGTTAGCTGGTCGCTAGCGGATAAGAGGGGTATAATTTGATTGGCTAAAAGCCGCTCATCTCCGACTGTTTGTGATTAGTTTGACTTGGTCACCAGAAATTCACCAAATTTGCAGGCAATTTTTTGAAGATGAAATTTCAAAAATAATTTTTGGGTAAAAAAAACCAACAACCTGTAAACCTGTTTCAAAAATTGGATGTTTTTGACAGAATTTTTAAAAGTTTTTTCTGCAAACTTTCTGGGATTAATCTAAATATTTCTAGAGTTTTTGGTGAAAATTTATGTACAAACTCCATGTCATCAAATTATTTAGTTGTGTAAACTTACCTGTGTGATGCAAACAGGATTTAGTAGCAGTGAATAATCACTGTGGATTTTAACAGCTTTAGCAACAGTTTGGGAAATATGTGTGAATCTTTTGAAAAACAAAAAGCTTGTTTCAGCTCTCAGAAGTGATAATAACACAGATTTACATGTGTGTGCTATTAACTGCTTGTTTCTATGTTGTTGCTCTTCATTTTCACCTCCAATCCAAATGTTCACTCAGAAGATCTGGAGAAGTTGGACAAAATAATCTCAGTTTATCTGCATTCACTTTGTAAAACAAAGAGAATCCTGGTTCATAAACCGCATCCTGCTGCAAAGTTGTACAGAGAACTAAAATTAATGAAACATTTTAAAATGAACTACAACATGCTGAAATTATAGATACATAATCATTCATTTTCAGGTTTATTATTATTATTATTAGCTTTTCAAACTGCTGTGAAGCAATTTTTTCCCAGACTAACAGTTTGCGACAGCAAAAGTTGGGAGAAAGTCAGTTTTTCAACAATAACAGAAACTTTATTTGAAAAATTGTATCTTCTGCTGAGTATCTATTACCCAGTTGATGTAATATAATCATAATTATAATTGTTTGACCTGTTTGAATTCTGCACCTAAAAATTTAACAAAGCATAAAAAAACTGAAAGTAATGAAAACTAAACTGAAACTAAATA